ATTGTAATATCATGTGTGCATTAAAGCTATAATTGTATTAACTTGAAAATCTTGCATATCTAGGCTAATTGGATTAGATTGTCTATTTTCATCATTAGATTCAAATAGAAATGCTAGACATCATATCAATATTCTCAATGCTTCGCCTTCAAGTTAGAAAAGTTTGGTGGTAGTAAGTAATATATTTGAACATCCCAACTTTCACATTTTATGCACAGTTCCATGTGGATGATCCATGTAGAAAGTAAGCCCACGTTTGAATTCCATTATTTAAAAACTCATTTTCTCTCAAACTCATTTTCAACAACAAATTCTCCAAATAAAATAATTTTGCGTGTAAATAAAAAAAAAATTCCCTATTTTTGACCACATATTCTCCCAAAAAAAAAAAAATCACTATTACTAAATCTATTTTCCTAAAAATTGGGGTTCAAAGAAACCCTAAATAGGTTTTTTCAGTTGGAGAATAAGAACAAGGTTGATTTTAAGAGTCTTTGTGATGCATGAGGACCATATGATCCTATTAGAGCAGCCAGCGATGAGCAAAGATCAACAGTATTAGTATTATCTGTTTCATAAGTACTAAAACCTAGTTAATCAACCAATTGGTCTCAATTATTCGAGTCAGCTAGAATTTGCAGATATCAATAAGAATTTCCTACAACGGTTTCACGAACATGACTAAAACTTCATAACTGATTCAGTCTCTATGAAATATAATCTATTGCGGAATTAAATAAAGAAGAATACGGATATAGCGTGATAAACTAATCCATTATTCAAGATACAAAAATACAATAGTCTCGATTTAGTAATTTCGTAAAATTAACTAAAACAATTAAAAACAAATAAAAAACAACTCCTTTGTTTTCTTATTCCTTTTGACTTAAAAAGTGGAATCAAACTCCCGATCTTGACTTTGCAACCACTTCCCCATAGTAATCGACTTCAACCACTATTTTGATTAAAATTCACTAATCTTAACTCACAAGTAGCCCAATCTTCAAATAGGATTATGACATTCACGCTAGGGTGTGTTGTGTTCAAATATGGTTGAAGAACATGAGTTTTGCTTCAAGATACTTCAATACAACACCAACCTGTCAGAATTCTCTGGAGTAGTTCGAATGCTTTTGAACATGGAACTGCAGGTGCACCAGATGTAAAAAGTTTTCTTTCAAAGCTTGTTCGTCCCTAATGACCCTCTTCACTAATATAAAATCTAAGGAGAACTCTGAGTGAATATTCTCAGTATGCACTTAGGGGCAGATTCAGCACTCGACGAGCTAGTGCAGCCGCCCTGTTGTATCCAACCGAAAAAAAAAAAGATTAATGAAGATTTATGTTCCAATATATATATATAACGGAAAACCTTTTAACTTTTAAACACAGTAAATAATAATTAAATATTAACTAATAATTGTATTAACTTTCAACAAAATGGAGAATAGCTTGTAAGGTAGAAATGTCACTTTGTATGTGAGAGGTATGGGGTTGAATTCCATGCACTTTCATTTTTTTTATTTAATTTTTAATAAAATAAATAATAACTAAATAATTATACATTATTAATTTTTGTTTTCGAAATAATTTCTTTAAAAAAATTTATTAATAATATATAATATACTTTATTGTTAAGTTTTATCAATTTATTTTATAAAATCAAATTTAGACAATTTAAGTACTGCTCTTTATTCTTTTAAGAGTTTGAAAAATACTTTCTTTTAAGATAAAAATTAGTTGTAGTTCTAAAAATCATTATTTTCAAAATTTTGCATGGTCTTCACCTAAGCTCGGAGTTTGTCTTTACCGACTAATCATACTTTACATACAAACTTCATTTATTATGTATGATTGAAAAATGTATTTTTTTTTCTTATTATTATGGGTTGTATTGGATTATATTTCAAATGCATATCACTTTTACGTTTTAGTCCATTTATATATTAACTGAAATTTTTTTAATATTATTTAATTAAATATAATTTATTTTACTATTGTGATCGTCAACAATCGTCCTAACTCACTCAATATCTAAGATTCACCACTGCAAGCACTACTGACTAGGTACTGGGAGAGGGCCCAAGGATAAGAAAGAAAGAAAAATAGGAAAATGTAAAAAGAAAAAGAAGACTTTGCTTGAATTGTCAAGTCAAATTGTCCTGCAAAGGTTCCTTGCGAAACTGCCTAATTTCCATATCTCAGGAGAAAATATTTTTTCCTTTTTAATGTAATACTGAAAAATAAAATGAAATGAATGGCGATGGATTTTAATTCTTGGGAGTCTGTGGATTAGGTAGCGATAATGGAAGGAAGAGTTGTGTGGAATAGTTATATACATAAACAATTGTCTGTATATTGGGGTGGTGTATAACATAACTTGAAGCCTAATTTTGACCATTAATAGGGTTGATCATGTTGAGTTATGA